TTTCCATGCAGATCTCTTTTGTTGGTTTCCAGGTAAGTCGAAAAAGTACTACCGTATGTCACGTGAGGTGCTCTAGTTGGGCCTCTGAGAAAAACCCTTGCCTGAATTGCCAAGGTCATAGTATTGTTATCAGGCCAAAGGAGATAAGTCCTGTGTCACTCTGTTCTGCGACAACTAGCTCACCTCCCTCTCCATCTTCTCTCATGTACCAGCCGGTGCAGTCATCAGAGCACATGGCAGCCTTCGGTGTGTTCGGCTTGTGCCAGATCCATGCCTTTGTGGACTACCTACGCAGCAAACTCAATGCCCAGCAATTTGAGGTGCTGTTCAAGAGCGTCATCTCCCTGGTGGGCTTCATCCTGCTGTCTGTGGGCACTGTTCTCATGCTGACTGGTAAGAGGGTTGACATGGTGCACCAGTAGATACATTGGCGTAGTGGATGGAAAACCCTTGTTTTGTTTTGTTTGTTTTCTTCACTCTTTCCATACTTTCTCCTTAGCTTTTGTGAGGAACTGATTTGAGGTTCTTTTGCTTTGGACTGACCAAAAGTATATTTCCCTCAGGTAAAATCTCTCCATGGACTGGTCGTTTCTACTCCCTGCTGGACCCCTCCTATGCCAAGAACAACATCCCCATCATCGCCTCTGTCTCTGAGCACCAGCCCACAACCTGGTCCTCCTACTACTTTGACCTCCAGCTGCTGGTCTTCATGTTCCCAGGCAAGTGTACACTCAGCAGAAACACGCAGAGTAACAAGGGTTTATACTGTATGAGCACTCCCATTTATCATGCAAGTCATTGTGTATCCCTGTTGGGGTTTTGACTGACAGTTAACCTTCCCTTTCCTTACAGTTGGTCTTTACTACTGTTTCAACAACCTGTCGGACGCCAGGATCTTCATCATCATGTACGGAGTCACCAGCATGTACTTCTCCGCTGTCATGGTACGTCCTGTACACAGCTACATGTACTCTACTTTTGGAAGTTTGTCACATTCCCAGCATTGAACATGTATTTAGGAAAGTGAATTTGCACTTACTTTACACATCACATGGGTTAATGTACTCCTCAGGTGCGTCTGATGTTGGTTCTGGCTCCAGTCATGTGCATCCTGTCAGGCATTGGTGTGTCCCAGGTGCTAACCACTTACATGAAGAATTTGGATGTCAGCCGGCCAGACAAGAAGAGCAAGAAGCAACAGGACTCCACCTACCCCATCAAAAATGAGGTAGGAGCTCTGAGAGGCTGGTTGAGAGTGCTAGTATAGCTGTTAGAGGGTGGTACAAAGCTATAGCTGTGTCCAAATTCCACACTACATACTAATTGGGAGTTGGGACATAGCCTGTGTATTCCCTTTAAGTATTGAAGTATGGTTTCAGAGACCATGAATATGTTCTTTTTCCTGTGGTGGAAATATACTTAACTACTATCTGTACTTTTTTTAAATATATATAGTTTTGCGTGGCAGAACTTAGTCTTTCTTTTTTTTTCTCCCCATTAATCATCTCATGACCCTTCTGATTTCTCTTGTGGCCTGTTCAAGGCTCATGAGTACATTTAGCTGGCAACATTACTTCTGTAATAATGCAGGACTTGTAATGGAGTGTTATTGGTACTTAGAGTTGAACATCTGTCTTGTACACATGATAAAATGCAGTTATATTCTTATTTAAAGAAGCATAGCAGAGAGGTTTTATAAAAGCACATTGGTGGTCCCACAGACAGAAGGGTAAAACCTGATCACATCCTGCGTTGTATATTCCTACCAGGTTGCCAGTGGGATGATTCTGGTCATGGCCTTCTTCCTCATTACATACACCTTCCACTCTACCTGGGTGACCAGCGAAGCCTACTCCTCTCCCTCAATTGTCTTGTCAGCCCGTGGAGGAGATGGCAGCCGCATCATCTTTGATGACTTCAGAGAGGCTTACTACTGGCTCCGCCACAACACTCCTGAGGTCAGTCTCACCCAAAGAAATACAGAATAAGTCAACCCGTAAGGAGTTGTTGACTAGCGTTAAGAATGAACTGATGAATGATTACATTAAATGGTTTTCATTCTATTATTTAAGTTATTTTCTGTTTCAAGGATGCCAAAGTCATGTCGTGGTGGGATTATGGCTATCAGATAACTGCCATGGCGAATCGAACCATTCTAGTGGACAACAACACGTGGAACAACACACACATCTCCAGAGTGGGACAGGTGAGCTGGGTAGCCTTCGGGGTTAATTTTCTTTATAAAGGGCTGCTGTGCTGACTGGGCTGCTGTTTGTTCCCTAGGCCATGGCATCCACAGAAGAGAGGGCCTATGAGATCATGAGGGAGCTGGATGTCAGTTATGTCCTGGTCATCTTTGGAGGACTGACGGGCTATTCTTCAGATGGTACGTCCCAAGCATCTGTAGATCAGAGGGTCAGCGTGGCTCTTAAAGCAGCCCGACTACAGACACATTCTCACTATAGATAGTTGTTTCACACAGTTGGATTTAATAGACTTGGGTTTAATAGTGTGTTCGCAATGCTTAAGGTATGCTATTTGAATGTTACACCCACACATTTAATGGCATTTCTTTACATGTGGTGGTGTGTATAAGGAGGTGTAAACATCCTCCCTTGGCTGGTGAATTTGTTTTTAGATGTGATTCGATTTCACCTTATAAATAATGAAAAGCTTAACAGTAATAACTCACTTCTACACTAAATAGTTAGAATAATGAGACATGATACTGTGTAAGGCATCAGCACCACTTCTCTAACGGATCTCTGTCTGTGTCACAGACATCAACAAGTTTCTGTGGATGGTCCGTATCGGGGGGAGCACAGACACAGGCAAACACATCAAGGAGCACGACTACTACACTCCCACCGGAGAGTTCAGAGTGGACCGCGAGGGCTCGCCCGTCCTGCTCAACTGCCTCATGTACAAGATGTGCTACTACCGCTTCGGCCAGGTCTACACAGAGGCCAGTGAGTAACTGTACAGCTGAGTGTGGCCTCTTGGTCATCATGCATCACCTGCTTTCACCTAGCAATCACAGGCATACTGTGAATAAGCATTTTGGACAGTTTAGGATGATTCATTAACTCCTTCATTAATATATTTTATTCATAGTGAGACAGAACTGTTTGCAAAAATTACGGAGCAAGACTGAGCATAACGGCAGTAGATATCAGGCGCTCTGTGCTTAGACATAAAGACATAAATATCAAATGCATACATATTCATGTCCTTCTACATAAAACTACATCCTCTTGTACTGTAATTCTGATGATCTTCATGATCTCCCCTGCAGAGCGCCCCCCTGGTTATGACAGAGTGAGAAACGCTGAGATTGGGAACAAAGACTTCGAACTGGATGTGTTGGAGGAGGCCTACACAACAGAGCACTGGCTGGTTAGGATATACAAGGTAAAATGGCTAACTTTTATGTGACATATCATCAATCAGTCTGTAAGGACGGTTTGGAACCCCAGATTGGTTTTCTGGTCAGGGTCAGATCTTCTGGAACTCTTTCTTTGGAAATCAGTTTTATAGACATTGCAGATTGAGGGAAAACAACAGAAGGGTAAATTGATCAAATTAATTCTTTATTTTATGTATTTAATCCTTTATTTAAACGGGTAGTCTCATTGAGATTGGGATCTCGTATTCAAGAGAGACCTGTATATAAAATAAACATAATTTTTAGGCATAGATAGATGCGCTTAAAACTGGAATCAGAGCTGCAACAATTGGTCAGCCAATCAATTGACAGAAAACTAATCAACAACTCTTTTGGTCATTATTTTCAAACATTTGATGGTTCCAGATTCTCATGTGAGAATTTACCAGTACTGGTGCCTACATCATAGTAAAAACTGAATGGCTTCAGGTTTAGTTGGAAAACAAGACATTATGACATCCCTTTGGGCTCTTGGAAATTGTGACGCCTTTTTTTTTTTTTTTTTTCATAGGGGCAAACAAATAACCTATTAACCAATAGAATAATCTGAAAATAATTGTTGCAGCTCCACTAGGAATACATTGCAAGTCAGACTGATGATAGTTGAGTCTATGTTTTTATTTTTTTTATATGAAGCTCTTCTTGTCCATTGTACAAGTACAAAAGACTATATAAACACATATGAACACTGAACATTGTAATAGAGGACTTTCTAACGACGTGTTGCTTTCCATGTTTTAGGTGAAAGATCTGGACAACCGGGGTCTTTCAAGGACATAAAACCTTCAGACAGCAGTGAAAACAGCCTTTTAGCACACAGCACTGAACGCCTTCCCCTGTGGTCTGCAGATGAGTGGGAAAAGAGTACTTTTTATACTTTTGTTTTGGGGAAGAAAATTGCATCCAAGAGATTTTTCTTTTTTCTTTTTTGTGGATGATTTTCATTTTTTTTATTTTGTTATAATGAAATGTCTCATCTGGGATCAGAGGGAGCTGGTGTCAAAACGTCCAGTCTGATGTCAGGAAGTGTAATTGCCATGAAGCAGTCAAAGAAAGCAGTGCTCATTTAAGAGCCTTTTGGATTTTTACAATGTGGTCAATTAAAGTGGGATTAAACGTGATAAAATAGTGCTTTGTCTTTTTTCTATTTGTGTGGGAACTACGTTCATCCAGACAGCTGTTATGGATCCCAGATATTCATAACTGGTTGAAAGAATAACTTGTTACTGAATTACAATTAGGAATTCAATAAAATGTATTAATTTACAGTAAGTTATATTATAACTAGACCAAGTTTGAACTTACACAGCTGGTGCAACAGGTTGCTGTATAAAATCTGAACCCAACACCTTCATAATGAAGGTTAAAGATTCCAGTGGCTGTTCTGTTACTGAGAATATTTACTTGCATGGCATCCTTCTGCCACATGTGCTCCCAAAATGAACTTAATTGTCCGTTAATGGATCTTCATGCCTCTTGGGACCAGTGTTGTCATTTGTACAGTATGTTGGCTGTATGATAAAGAGATCACTTTAGAAATACATAAAAGCCCAACTTAAGATAAGACAACATTCTTTTATTGTAGTGAATTATAGTGCAGTCTATAATACATTCAGAAAAGAATTAGACAGGAATTATGTCCCCACCCTCCCAAAAGGATAAAATGATTTAAATGACAATTAAAATTCTTTGCCCATTCAGATTAGTAAAAAGTAACAGTATAAAGTGTCCATTAGCTCCAAGAACATACATTTGAAAAGTCTTTTTTTAAGAATGGCACGCATATACAGAGCTCCTCACAGTCCAGGCTGGTCTGGCAGATCCTTCAGAAGTGCAGGGTTTTTTCTATAGATGTAGGCGTTTGAATCGTCATCCAGCTTCACCAACTCTGCCAGTGACGACACGCAGGGATCCTGATCGAGCAGCATTGTCGGCAGGCGGGAGGATTTGCGCTGGATACGGCAGGAACGGCGTACGGGGGTCAGAAACTTCAGATCTTTGATGTTGCTCTTTCTCCTCGATGCACTTCTGCCAACATCCTCTTCAATTGTCCTCTTGACACTGAACAAGGGATATTTGAAGATACTACTGTATTACATGTGAAAATAAATGACTTAATGAAATCATTGAAATTATTAGGCAAATCAATAGCTGCATAAGTAAGTTGATGGACTCACCTCTGCAGGTATGGAGTGGTTTTCACGCTGTACTTCACTACTGAGGCATCCTCCATCTGTGGCGTGGTCTCCATCACACAATCATCACTTGCTCCTTCATAATCATCATCCGTCTCCACTTTCTGGTCATCACTTTCCCCTCCATCATTCACTTTCTCTACCTTCGGCTGCTCGCTAACAACCTCAGGCATTTCATTCTTCAGCTCCTCTTTTTTACCTTCATCCTTTGGTTCACTATCTTCCACTTCAACATCATTGCACTCATCTGTCACCTGTGTAAGATCTAATGGAAACAAAACGATGAGTGTTGGTGTAAGAAGCATTTGTATAGAGTAACTAGTGTTCATTGTTAGGCCACGAATCTCAGTGACCTGAGTCGATCAGTTATTTTCAAGAACTCACTCAATAAACCACTCTGCCCAAAACAAAGGCCACAGTGGGAAGACACAGGTGAGCTTACCATCACTGCATCTCGAGGGTGTTGCCATGGCATCTAAAGCATCACACAGGTTCACAACAATCTGTCAAAACGAAAAAGATGATTTTTATCGGTGTGGAAGGGAACTTTTTTTGAAACCGCAACAGAAACCCTGCCTGTTCACTTACATCATCCACTCTGTCCTGTGGGTCAATGAGCAGATCTGCATCAGAGTCTTCCAGCAGGTCCAGGGTGGTGTTCATGATCACTGGAGATTGACTGTGTGTTGTTAGTTCTGGTTCCTGGGTATCTGCACAGTGAGCAGCAGAGTCTGCCTTCTGTGCCACCAGACTGGATTCAGGTTCAGGGTTGCAAGGTGCAGACTGTGGTTTGAGATCAGCTTCGGGTTTTGCAGGGGCTTTGGTTTTTGAGGGTGTTCTTGCTGTCATGGCTGGTCTCTTAAAATTCTTGCCTTTGGAAGCTAGCCACTCTGCCAGTTTCGCTCTGCAGAGGAACCACAAACATTTTTGAACATTTCTATTGTACACCAACACTATTGTCAAGAGTTTATATACAAAGGAAAAACTTACTTTCTTTCCTCTGCAGTTTCCATGGTAAATCTGTACTGGCTGATGGTGCTTGAGACAGGAGGTTTGTTGACCTTCTTCTCTGTCACTTGAATCTTTGGCTTTGAGTTCTGAGTCCCACTCCTCTTGGTGAAAGCCATATTAGTGTTTCTGGTACTGGTGCTGGTTAGTGTTGCTGGGACGGTTCTGGCAGGAGGGCGAGCAGAGCAGAATCCAGCAGGAGGACGGCTGGTGACAGCGGGCCTGGACACCTGAGCAGGTCTATCTATAACCGACTTGGACCTCGTCCGTGCAGGGTTTTGTGTGCTATGCCCAGGAAGGTCAGCAACAGATTTGGACCTGATTTTTGTCACATTTCCAACCCTCTGGCTGTCTGTTTTGGGTGCTAATGGTTTTGGAGCTGTCCTGCCCATGGTGGCCCCTGACTTCCAAATGGCTCCAATTTTTGACTCTACCATCTTGCCTTTGTACATGCCGAGAGCAGATTTTGGCGGTGGCACAGCAGCTGGTGGTTTTGGCCCTTCTACTATTTTTTTTCCTTTCACCGCCTGTTCAGTGAGGAAAGCCTGGCTATGTGTTTGTCGTTTGACATCAGTAACAGAAGCTCCTTTCCCATCTCTCTGCACGGTCTTTAACTTTTTCAGAGCCTCACCAGACGTTGACCTTGTGTCCATCTGTTTGACCATGGCTTTAAGAGGACCATTTTTTGCCACGGTTTCCTCTTTTTTGTTGCTATTCAGTTGAAAGGGAACAGCAGACGTCTGATCTCTTTTGATAAAGGACTTGCTTCCATTTGCTGGCTGAGAATTTTCCTTGTTTCCCTAATATAAATTAAAACAACAAGACCATTGAGTGAATTAAGTGCTGAATTTTAGCTAAAAAAACTGAACATAACTTAGTTAGCAGTCAACATAAGACATGTATTTCATATGATAACTTACTTTCTTGAGGTTCCGTCTTGAAACTGCAATGTTTTCCATTGCGAAGCATCAACCAGACAGTGGAGATTTCTGGAAGGTGAACAAAGCAGTACCAGGGTTGGAAATTAGCATCAGCCAAATGCTGGTAAAATGACAGTGGCTGGTCAAATTCAGACACAAATGATTTACTAATGATTGAATGGTATCTGTCAGTGGCTGGTAGATGTACAAATTTTGAAAATGTATATATTTCTCAGGGTGGTAAATTTACTTTTCAAAATGTGTACATCTACAGCCACTGACAGATACTAAAATGTACCAATCAATGGTAAATAATAATTGTGTGTCTGAAATTGACCATCCATCCATCTATCTATCCATCTATCTATCTCTAGAGTGATATTAATAGCTCTTATTCATTGACATCATGTAGCATACTAAGGTTAGACTTGGTCTGTAAGTAAGGGCTTATTACGCCCAACAGCTATAGCTGCCCACTAAACTCCTGCACACTGTTGAGGCATGTCCACACTAGTCCACATCAAGGGTCGTATGGCTGCAGGTTGGTGTCCCAGCCAGTCAAGAACATTAATAATTGGACTGATCAGATCAGCTGATTAAATGAGTCGAGCCTGGTGGGCTCCTGAAAACCTACAGCCACACGGTTCTGTATGGACTAGTTTGAACATGCCTTTCCGTAAATAACATCTACTCTTTATAATGTCCTCATATGCTATAATATATTCAGTAGTTCTGTACGTTATGTTTATCAAAAAGCAAAGGAAGATTAATATTAGCACGCATTGACTAAAGTGGTCTGGCGTAACGTTAACGTTAGCTGACACGAGATATAAAAACGAGTAAACGTTAGTGTTAGCTTTGCTTAACTGTACGCTGGGCCGTAATTTCTATCAAAGTGTGCGAACTCTAACTATACCTGTGTTTAAATAACGTTAAAATAATCCATAACTTACCCTGCTGTTATCTTTTGTAGTACAACACGAAGAGGGAACCTCTGTAAAGTAGCTCAACCCCGGAGCAAAACACTTCTCTTGCCTCCCTGCGGAAAAACCAGCCGATTTGACTTGGCGCTGCTGCGCTGCAATTGGCTAGGCTAGTCTCGCGAGATAACAGAATTAACCAATAGGGTGTCTGGAAAACTACGCGAGAATTGAAGAAGACTGGCTGTATTCTTCCACCCCACTGTTTTCAGCATCCTCTGTTTGAATGTTTGAAACTAAATAGGATTCCACGAATACTGGTCACTGTAAACAGCTACACGCCCAACACATGACAGCCGCGACAACCACTGGAAAAGCTGATGACAATCAGCCATGACTTCCAGTAGCGAGGTCACATCATCAGGGAAAGCAACTACTTTTATTATTTATTCAATATAATTAAATTCAAACAGGCTTTAATGGCATGGGACACAGGCTTTTACATTGCCAGAGCAAAATATATATGTATATATACAGATTAGTACGATTTCTTTATTTTTTTTTATGTTGGTGTGTGTCCTTAATATAATGTAGTTATGACTGTACAAATAATATATGGACACCTCCACTGTCTTATAAAGAGATTGGATCTGTAGGTCAGTCATCATTACAGTGAGAATGACATTTTGAACACAATCTCCAAATGCATACATTACAGTTGTGATGACCATAATAACGACTGCGTGTGTTTCTCTTTTATGAATTAAACTTCACAAAATATTAATAATAGGAATATTTTTTGAATAAAGCCACGGCATGTTGACAACCTTTGGGCTCTGACTGCTGAGGATTATGGGAAAGAAACGAATCGCGCGGTTTTGATGCACGTTGTTAAATACATCAAGCTCAAAGTGATTTCACCAATGAAGAGAATTAACCTTCAAAATAAAATCTAAATTACAACCAAAAACAAAAAGCATAACCTAGATTATTGTTATTAGTCTGTGGGACTATTGAAGGGGCCTGTGAATAATAGAATGGGCTTCTTTGCAGGAAAAAACAGGTGTGCTTTTACACAAGGCAGTCTCATTTTGTTACTCAAACGCAATGTATTTTATTTTGAAAGCAAAAATCGGAAGTTATCTTGCTGTCGAAGGTGGCTTGACAGCTAACTAGCGTTAGCAACATAGTTGGCTATCCTCGAAAGAATTGCACCTCAACAAACTTGTTAATGATACAGACTCATAATGCAGAGTCGCTGCGCCGTGCCGAGCTGTACTAGCGGCAAATCCGACACACAGCCACTGTTCCGGTTTCCGCAGGATCCAGAAAGGTAACGTTAACTAATGCTAATACTGATGCTAAAGCGAACAGGAAGCTCTCAAACTACCCACAACAGTTTGTTTCTCATTTCTAGTTAAACCCGACAACGCGGGCTTTTTTCAACAAGGATAACTTTGGTTGAATCGTCGAGTTTTTGTTTCTGCAAGAATTAATGCTGCTGTTCCGCTTTGTAGCACGTCCTTTATTAAAGCTGTTGGCTACTTATTTTCCTCTCAACACAAAAGTTGTAAAGTTTGACAGGTTCACGTGCCCGTGCTCTTTTCAGCACACATCTGGATCACATCTGGATCATCATAAGACTGTTACAGACTGTTACAGTGGTTGGGAAAAGCCAGTGTTACAACCTGTTGGGTAGCGTGTAGTACATCACTACTACCGGTATATTATTCCTGACAAATCCATAAGCATACATTTTGTGATGCATTAGAGGAAAAAGCACGTGTAATTGATAACATTTAAAATGGCTGCATTCCATTTAGGTACTCACTGACTTACTGGGAGTCTTAATGGGAAAGAGCCATCGTTAAGGAAACTTATTACTGTTAACAAAATTATTTTTTAATTATTATTTTAATAAATATTACTATTCCCAGCAGGACCAGTAAAGAAAGTTTTTTTCATTGGCTACTTGGCTGCTTCAGTGACTTCTCTTGTTGGTGTATTTAACTGTACTAATATGTGCATGTATCCGTCCATACTTTGCATATTTGTTGCATTTTGGAAAACATGCATTTGTAAATCAAACAAAAGATAGTCTAACCCGTTGGAATTGCCTTTCTGCATTACAACTTATACAACCACACCTGTCAACAGCAGGTTGTCATCAACCAATAATATATGATTGTTTTATACATTTCAAGCTTTTGTTTTTGATGTATTATTTACCTTTAGATTCTCACTTATTGCTACAAGTAATTGGGAAATTGGATAAGCATGCAGCATGTTGTTGATAGGTTGTTTAAAATAGCCTTAAAGCCAAAATGTCTAATGTTTTGTTTAACTTCTCCTTTCAGGTCTAAGAAGTGGGTTGAAAAATGCCAGAGGCAAGATCTCAAAGACAGCTCACCAGACCAGTTGTACAGATACTACAGACTCTGTGGAAAACATTTTGAAACGTCTTTGATTCATAGTGTAAGACCAAACTGCAGAGGGCACTGTGACCCCAGAGTTTGCAATACTTTTAATATAATTTCCAATCTTCACTATATCTGTGCATAGTGAATATTTGGGTAATGTAGGTTTTAATACAAATTCAACATAAGTAATATTTTTGTTTCAGTCTTCATATTTGCTGTATATAATGAACTTTTCCGGCTTGACTTTGTTTTCCAGGACGGTCAGAGTGCAGTGTTGAAGGATGATGCCATACCAACTATCTTCGATGTGCCAAGCCAACCTCAAAATGGGCAGGTGAAGCGCAGTAAAGAGACGGTGGGTAAAAGAAATCTAAAAATTTTTCTAAGCAGCCAATTTGACAATACAATAGCAGCACCCTGACTCTGTTTGACCTAAATGGAACAGAACCTTGATTAGTATCATTGGTAACACCTGTGTTTGACCTACTATTTCATGTCAAAAATGGCTGCGAAGAAGGTTGAATATGAATATGACTTTTATAGTTTCTATGTAATGACTTTTCAAAATCTTACTATTTTTGTAGACCATAGACAATGAAATGGAGAGTAAGGGGAGAAAAAGTAAGTAGAAACACACAACAACACACACACGTATCACTTGACAATGGCACAAGCTGAATGATTGATTTGGTTTTTATTGTGCAACTGTCTCTGTTTCCCTGTTAGAAATCAAAAAGTCTCCAGCAGAGACAACTAAGGAAGATGTCCAGGCCCTCCCAGAGGAAGAGGAGTACAAAGAGTATCTGAAGTCATTATTTGAAGTACTTGTACTGTTGGGAGAGCAAAGCATTCCTCCGACAGGGCCTGGTGATAGTAAGCAGGATGGCCTTGGGTCAAACAACTTTCAGGCCTTGTTAGAATATCGCATGAATCGAGGAGATGAAGTCCTTAAGAAGAGGTACGATGTGAATAGGGAGTGCTGCTCCTCAGCTCGGCTGAATCAGTTGATTGAGGTGTGGGAGGAATGCATCCACAGTAAGCTGGTGGAGGAAGTTAAACAAAATGGCTTTTTCTCATTACTTACTGATGATTTGGTCAAGATCTCAGGAGAATGGTACCTCCCGGCCTTTGTCCGTTATGTGGACCAGTCTAACTGCCCGCGGGAGAGGTTTGTTGGATTCTTGTCCTTTGAAGGAGATGGAGATGCCTTAGCAGAGAAACTGCTGTCTGAAATGACTGACAGATGGGGATTGGATATGGAACAGTGTAGAGGTCAAGCCCACTCCTGCTCTGGGACACATTTTAGTAAAATAAAAACAGTTGCTGCCAAACTGATGGAGAGGTATCCAAAGGCAGTGCTCACACTAAGATCTACTTGTGCATTGAACGTGTCACTGGCGAAGGGTATGGCTTTGTCGGGGGTTCAGCTCGTCATGTCAACCCTTAAGAAGATTGAGTCATTCTTCAGTCAGTCCCCTTTACTGCAGTTGGAGCTGGAGCATGCCATTTCTATTTTCTTCCCAGACAAAGAGGAAAAGGTCAAAGAACTGAAGGAGATCTGTCAAACCAGCTGGACCAGACGACACGATGCGTTTGAGGTGGCTGTGGAAATTCTAGAAGCATTGCTACTCTGTGTGGACAGCGTGCATGACAACGAGGATATGAGGTGGAACGATCAAGTCACACACAACGCCTTAGAGATTTCAAAAGCTCTAGCTGATTTCGAGTTTGTCATGGCACTGGTCGTGCTGAAAAACACCATGACACTGACACGAGCATTTGGGAAGAACGTGCAAGGGAAAGCGACAGATGCCCACTTTGCTGCAACCAGTTTAAAAGCTGTATTGCACTCACTGAAGGAAGTGGCGGACAACATCGATGTGTATCACGAGTTCTGGAACGATGAGGCCGTTAACCTAGCCACTGCGATGGAGATCCCGGTGAAGGTTCCTCGCTCATTCTTGAGAAAGCATCAGTCAGAATCTGGAGCCATTCGGCCGGAGACTTACTACAAGGAGCATCTGACTGTTCCCTTGGTGAACCACATCATCAAAGAACTGAATGAACTCTTTTGTGAGGACCACCTGAAGGCTCTGAGATGTCTGTCACTGGTCCCTGCTGTCATAGAGCAGCACAAGTCCACTGAACCCGAGGAAGAGAGCGTGCAAGTGTTTAAAAATGACATCCCTAATGCAGGAACCCTCTCCGCCGAGCTGCACTGCTGGTGGGTTAAATGGAGCAAAAAGGGCAAAGGTGAGACTCTGCCCTCCAGTCTCCAAGAAACACTGCAGCTGGCTGACGTGAAGTTCTTCCCGAACATGCTCGCAGTTCTGAGACTGATCGGCATCGTGCCTACCTTGGCTCTGGAGGACAGCTGCGATGTGGCGTACAAGCGCTTCCAGATGTACATGGAGAACACGCCCGACAAGTTCAAATCAAAAAGTCTTGCTCTTTTGAATTTGAACTATGATGTTGAGTGTGATCTGGATGCAGTAGTGGAGATCTACATGAAGACATACCCGGACCAGGAGGAGGTGTCTTGTAGTAGTTAAGCATTCGGGACAGATGATCCACAGCTTGGTTAATGAGTCGTGCGGACGTGTTATCTTGATAAACATCCTCCTTTAGTGTAGGTTTTTTTTTGTTTACTATCTGGCCCTTGTTGTGAAGTAGAATCTTTTATAGGCTGTTGTGTTTTTTAATAAGATGTAGAATGTAAAAGAACAATA